GTTGCCTTATTGATTTTCTGTCTGGATGATTTGTCCATTGATGTCAATGGGGTGTTAAAATGCCCTACTCTTATTGTATTATTGTCATTTTCTCCCTCTACATCTGTTAGTATTTGCTTTATATATTTAGGTGCTCCAACACTGGGTGTGTATATGTTAATGTGTGTAATATCCCCTTTCTGTATTGATCTTTTTATCATTATATAATGTCCTTCTGTGTCTTTCTTTATGCCCTGTTTTAAAGTTTATTTTAATAGATATGAATATCACTACCCCCAATTTCCTGTTGCTTCCATTTGCATGCAATACCATTTTCTATCCCTTCACCTTCAGTCTGTATGTGTCCTTTGCCCTGAAGTGAGTCTCTTGAATGCAGAATATTGCAGGTTCTTTTTTTATTTTTATTCTGTAAGCCACCCTATGTCTTTTGATCAGAGCATTTAATCCATTGACAGTTAAAGTAATTATTGATAGGTATGTACTTATTCAAGTTCAAATATATTCTAAATGATCTACCTTTTCTACTCCCCTCCCCCACATTTTGTGATTTTGATGTCTTATTTTACATCTTCATATCCGTTTACCACTTATTATCGTTATACTTGCTTTTATAATTCTTTTATTGTTTTTAGTGTATGTACTAGCTTATTTAATTGATCTTCAGGACTGATTATATATTTGCCTTTCCTCTGTGATTTTTTTCCTTTCCTATAGATTCTTGCTTTTTTTCTACTTAAATAAGATCCTTCATTATTTCTTTTAAGGTAGGTTTAGTATTGTTGAATTCTTTTAGCTTTTGCTTTTCTGAGAAATTATTTATCTCTCCTTTTATTCTAAATGATAATCTTGCTGGGTAGAGTATCCTAGGTTGCAGATTTTCCCTTTCAGGACTTGAAATATATCATGACACTCCCTTCTGGCCTGCAAAGTTTCTGCAGAGAAATCAGTTGAAAGCTTATGTAGATTCTCTTGTATCTGACCCTTTGTTTTTCTCTTGCCGCCATAAGAATCCTCTCTTTATCTTTAACTTTTGCCATTTTAATTATGATGTCTTGGTGTAGGTCTGTTTGGGTTCATCTTTTTTCGGACCCTTGGCTCTTTCTGTATCTGGATATCTGTTTCCTTCTTTAGGTTTGGGAAGTTTTCAGCCTTAATTTCTTCAAATACATTTTTGATCTTCTCTCTCTCTTCTCTTTCTGGAACTCATACCATGCATAAAATGGCTTGCTTTATATTTTCCCATAGACCTTATGTTGGTTTCATTTCTTATTGTTTTTTCTGTCTGCTCTTCTGATTGGGTGGTTTCCATTATTTTATCTTCCAGATCACTTATTCATTCTTCTGTCTCATTTAGTTGGCTATTTATTACTTCTATACTGCTTTCTTTTACTTTTTCTTTTTCTTTTTTTGAAGTATAGTTGATTTACAATGTTGAGTTACTTGCATGTGTACAGCAAAGTAATTCAGTTATATATAGAGAGATAGCTATATAGATATATCAATATATTCTTTTTTTATATTCTTTCCTTTATAGGTTATTACAAGATGTTGAATATAATTCCCTGTGTAGATTGCTTTTTATCTCTGAAACTGAATTATATATTTTTGATTGATTCATCTGTATAACTTTTATCTCCTTGTTACAGTTATCTGTGTTTATATCAATAATCTTTCTTAACTTAGTTAGCATTTTTATTCCCACCTCTTTGAAATCTGGGTCTGTTGAACCAGTAAAGTCTGTTTCATTATATGTTCTTTTGGGGGTGGGGGGGTCTCTTTCTCTTTTAATTGGGAGTAGTTCCTCTGCCTTTTTATTTTACTTAACTTTCTCTGTCTCTATGAATTTGGAAGAAACAGTTATCTATTGTGGTCTTGAAGGGGTGTTTTTATGTGGGAGCATCATTGTATAGACTGTGTTTCTAATAGTTTTGGTGGTAGGGCTGGTTTTGGTATGGAAACCAACTATATATTTCCTCGGTGTGTGCTGGCTGTTATCTCCTTGATAGGGGGTGTGGTTTGTGTTGGGGGATTTAAAGCCTGTGTAGGATGTGAGGCAGGGCTTCCTCTCTGTCTGTGGCTGTTACCATCCTGTCAGGGTCAGGGTCTTTTCCCCAGCTCTTGGGGTGGAAGCCCTGAGGGTCAGGTTCACTTGCTGAAGCAAGTGAGGTCCATGCAGTCACAGCAAACCTATGTGCATCCCATGTAGGTGTCTGCAGTTCCACTCAGAAACAGGGAAAGCCCTGTTGTGTTCATCCCAGATCTAGTGCAATGCTGTGACCTGGGGGTCAGGGTGTCATTGCTGCAGGAATTGAAGTGGCTCTGCTGCCACCTGAGATCTGGGCTGCCTTGTGGCTGACTTCTCCCAGGACCTGTCTGCCCCAGATCCAGTGCTAAGCTGCCATGTGGAGTGGACGGAGCTGGGTGCTCTTGCTGGGAGACAAACCACTGAGCACATGGACAAGGGCCACCACTGCCCCCCCAGTACAAGTTGAACTCATTGTTAGACTTCCCAATGTCTTCAAAGTCTTCCTTATCATTCTTGACCAAAGGTTTCTCCTCCAGTTCCTCCTGTCTAATCCAGCCTTCACATTTCATCACCACAGTGATATTTCTAAAAGGCACCTTTGATCTTTGCTTAACTACTCAAAAATAATGAGGAAAATATCAAACCCTTCATAATTTGACCTCTGTCTTAACAATCACATTTCATTTGCTTCCACTTTCCTTTTTATACTTCATTCTAGAACTTGCAAACTCCATGGGTTCCCTGAGTATGACATGCTTTTTGGCCTCCCTATCTTAGAATAAGTTGTTCTTTCCACCTGAAATGATCTTTGCTTGTCACCTGCAGGTGAACTGCTGTCATCAGCCAAGATTCAGTCTAGTTCAATTGAGTAATTTAACTGACCACACACTAGCTCCTTGAGGGTAAGGATTATGCTTTATTATCCTTGTGTCACCAATATCTAGCTCAGGGTCATATAGTGAACTACATACATATTTGTTGATCTAACCTAAATGTACAAAAACTTTTAGTAGACTCAGTTGTAAATTATTAACAGGAAGAAATGTTATAAAAGAAAGACATTCCTACTTTTAGTATTTAATTGAATTCTGTTTTAACTGTTTTTAATGCCAACATTCAAACACTATCAATATTTTTATTTTGCTTCAATCCCAGTTAATTTTATTTAATTTCATTCAACCATCCTACCTATAGAACCACTGAAATCCCTGATGGGAAGTTTTATTATCTCTGAAACACAAACCACCAATTACTTCATTAGATTATATATATATATATATATATATATATATATATATATATATATATATATATAGTGGTATGGTATATATATATGGTATATATATATATATGGTGTGTATATATATATATATGGTATATATATGATATATATATATGGTATATATATATATGGTATATATATATATGGTGGTATGTCTCAAAATCCTAATTCAGATTCTGGTGAGTTTTGAGAAAATGTATACTTATCCTAAGACATACATCCCAAGGAATAAACTGATAAGATTTTAATAAAATATCAAAATGAAGTATTCAGCTGATTCCATACAAATCCCTACTTGAATAGTTATGTGAAACAAGCAGAAATAAAAGCCTCTGATAAATAGAATTCTTTTTCCCAGGATAGCAGAATTATTTGCTATATAAACCATTATAACCAGACACAAAAACTCTTGTTTTAAGTGTTAAGTACCAGAGTGAGGATATTTCTTAAAGTTTGTAAAAATTCTAGTTTTACAACTTCGTGAGAGAGCCACCACCTCTTGAGAAGGGAGCATTATAAAGTAATCAAGACAAGCTCTTCTTCCCTCTATTGAGCTGTCTTTAACCAATAAAGATAGATTCTAGGAACATCCTTTAATCTGGGGATACCATTCACAGTAGTCAGGATGGGGGTCAAAATCCCCCTTCCTGTTCCCTGTTCCCCTTGGAGTGAGGAAATAAAAGCCAGTTGGGGCTATTTATGAAGGAAACAGAACAATGAAAGAGAAAATGTGGATACAGGATTAGAGGCAGGATGAAAAGAGAAGCTAGCTGGCTGATAGCACCCCTCAACTAAATCTTATTTGTCTGCACTGGCCCTTGTACTTCTGGGTTTTACCATTTCCTGTTTCTACTAAATCTCCCTACAGTTTCAGGCCTATTGAAACCCACGCTTTCACTATCTAACACGTGCCTGAACATAGTAAGGAAGAGCATTTCTTTTAGACAACGATTTCACTTCAAGGAAATTTCATTTCATTCACAATATGGTGATGGAAACATCCATTTCCTTCCCATCTCTTGGCCTTCCTACCCCTGACCTTTGGCTCTTAGAAAAGTAAAGAGTTAGAGAAGCTCAGTTTGTTCCAAGCTGTGAGTCCCTCTCTAAGTCATATCCGGTATTTGGATGCCAAATTATTGTTACAAAGCACCTAGGCAAATACTTTGACTGCCTATGATCTTTTCTATTTCTAAAATTAATCTCCCAAATATAGAATTTTGCTTTTTAAGTAAATTCTTCATGTTGAAGGCGTATGTGAGTTAAAGGATTATACACAGGATCTCAAAACACTACACTTGGGCTTCCCTGGTGGCGCAGTGGTTGAGAGTCCGCCTGCCGATGCAGGGGACGTGGGTTCGTGCCCCGGTCCGGGAAGATCCCACATGCCGCGGAGCGGCTGGGCCTGTGAGCCATGGCCTCTGAGGCTGCGCGTCCGGAGCCTGTGCTCCGCAACGGGAGAGGCCACAGCAGTGAGAGGCCCGCATACCACAAAAAAAATCCACTACACTTCCTTTGTTCTGGATTTGAATTCCCTATTGAGTGTCTGAGTTGCTCAATGCTGAAGGGCACATATGTATAATTAATGTGATAGTAAACAGACTATGTGGTGAGATGCAGCAGCAAAACACAACCCTCCTCTTACAAGTCCATGAACAGGCTTGTTTTAACTGTTTGCTTTGGGCTTTTCCACAGCTGTTCACATCACCCAGCCCAGGCTCAGTGGGATGGATGCCTTTGGATATACCTCATTCCTGGCTTATTCGCGGGTCCCAGACATCAGCTATGATTACGAGTTTCACTTGAAATTTCAGCTGGCAAACAACCACTCAGCAGTGCAAGACAACTTGTTATTTTTCACGGGACAGAAGGGCCATGGTAAGATTACCTGAACCCTCTAGGGCTTGCTTAGGTTTTTTTAACAATACTTGAGAGATTCCTCAGGGACTATGGCTGTGGGTGAGGCAGGTGCTTGCCTGGATCAGACTCCTCCTGTCTGCTGCTCAAGCGTGTGCCTTGTCCAAGGTGTGCATCAGCCCTTGACCCCCAAGCCCTGTTCACATGAGGCCACCTCTTATAATCAGGGAATTGTAACTCCTGCCAGCAAACGTGAAGAAAGAGAAGGGGGTGAGTCACACAAGAAGTGAGCTTATCGACTGGTCCTGTCCTCTGTTTCTTTGCATTTCCAAAGAGAAGGAGAGAAGGGAAATTCTCAGAAGGAACACATTTTACTATGTGTTGTGAAATGGGAATGGTTGCCCTCAAAGAAAACCATCCCAAATTAAAGGAGCAAGAATTTAGGAAAGTGCTAGGTCTGTAATCATGTACTCCAGTGCCCTTCAATTGGTGGGAAAGCAATTTATAAGCTAAATTTGTGTGTGAAGTAGAAACCAGTTATGCACACATGGGATCAAGGAAAAGCACATAAGTTTTACTCCCAAGTCAGCAACTAACTAGTTAAGCAATTAATCACCTATCTTCTCTGAGCTTGGGGTCCTCCACTGTGAAATCAAAATGTTACACCAGAAAATGACCTTTCTCATCAGTAATTCTACAGTGCTAGGGCAACTAATGAATTCTGTCCTTTTCAACTCACCCAATGCCTGTTTCTGTATTAACAAGTGTCTAAAAGAAGCCCACACCCCAAGGGAAGGGTGGTGTGCAAGCTTGCCCCACCTCTGGGAGCATGAGGGCTGCATTATTGCGTGAGCACTCTCCTGCCTCTGAGCTGCATATGTGCTCTCCCCTCCCCACCCTTGGCGGGAGTTGCTGTCAGAGTGGTGAAGAGAGCAGGCTCTGGGCCTGAAAGGTAGGTTTGGATCTGGTCTCCACCACTTACAAACTACACGTCAAATTACTTAGTGTCCCTGTGCCTCAGTCTCTTCTCTGTTCAAATGAGTATAATGATGGTGATTCCCCATCAGAGCTGGGAGGACGAACATGGTTAAGACATGGACTTAGTAGCAGGAAGCACTGGACTCACAACATCATTGCTTGTGTTGTTGCAGGAGGCCTTCTCCAGCCACCTCCCCAAAAGCAGGTCTCCCCTCACCCCAACCAAGTTATTCTCTACCTCAGCCTCTTGCTTACTTCCTTCAAAGCCCTTACCTCAATTTACAATTCATTTATCTATTTTGTAGATAGTTATCTATTATCGTTTATCTATTTTGTTTCCTGTCTGCCTCTACTACGAGAATGGGATCGCTAGGTAGACAGAGAGCAAGCCATCCTGTTACTGAACCAAACTTAGGTCTGCTCACCTGAGCACAGTAAAGCCAATCTACCGACACTGGGTGTGGTGAAGGAAAGTGCAGCGTTTATTTCAGGCGCCAAGCAACAAGTCCAGGGCAGCTCATGCTTAAAAGGCACAAACTCCTTGAAGGCTTCCAGAGAAAGGTTTTAAAAGACAGGATGAGGGAGGGGGTCTGTGGGGTGTGTGATCAGCTTGTGGTCCTTCTTCTGATTGGCTTGTGGTGAGGTAACTGGGAGTCAACATCATCCACCTTCTGATTCTACCTGGGGTCTTTGTGCTTGTGGGCAGCATGTAGTTAACTTCTTCCACCTGGTGAGGGTTTCAGTATCTGCAAAACAGCTCAAAGTACATGGCTCAGAATAGTATCTACAGCCCTGGAGAAGGAACTAAAGGTCCTTGACTTTGTCTAATGGCTAAACTATTATTACTTTGTCTTGCTTAACAGTTTTCCTTTCTTTCCACATTTCTCATTTCTCTGATTAAATTTATTCTTTAAAGTTTTTCTACGGACAAAAGGCTGGCAGAGGACATGGTGGGGTGGCGGGTCTCTTCCCTGGGATGACCCCACAGGGTCCTGCTTGATTACAATCCTTCCTGAACTTTATACACCCACACTTAGCACACTGCCCGACACATAATCAACACTGAATAAAATACCCACAATAAGCACAGACAATTGTATGTCATATAAATCAGCAACTCGGTTACACAAAGGTTCTTAGAGTGGCCAGTCTCAGGGACTTGCAGTTCAGATGCCATCTTCTCCATAATGATTTCCCCATGGTTACTCTCTCCTTCCTCTGAGAGCTGCTAAGCTGCCCTGCACTTTGGGCATGCAGCCCTAATGACAGGCCTTGGTGGGCTACATTTCTCTCCTCATTCAGAGAAATGGTGTCCTGGTTATCACTGTATCACCCACAAAGCCTCCCTCAGGGGGCTGTAATAAACATCTGTTGAATGACTGACAGAAGGCAGGGAGGAAAGAAGGAAAAGAAGAAGGAATTCCTACCCTTAACTCTTTACTCTGAATACAATTATATCCTTCCCATTAGCAAAAAACAAACAAACAAACTGGCAAATGAAAAATTCAAATGAGCATCACAAAGCTTGAGTCTGAGTACTAAATGATTCACAGAGGAAGAACCCAAGCAAAAGATAAACATTTGGTCCATGAAAATGCTGCCACCAAATGCCTCTTCAATACTCTTCAACTACAGATTCCTTCAAAATTCTCCAAACCAAAAAATGTAAAAGCATTGTCTTGGTCGCAGAACTTCTAAGGTATGAAATTTTACATGTTACACTTTCTGGTCTTCTCACATCTCTCTTGTGTGTAGGGAGATGAATGCTAATGCAGCACTTGCATCTGTAGGTTTACAGCATGGCTAAATAAAGGCTGGATAACTGGTAGATTAATTGTGGAGCTCTATGTGCCAATCAGTGAAAATGAAAAATCTGAAACATACAATTCCACATTGTACCACCAGAGAGAGCAAGAACACCAGTTAAAAAATGCAAGTCAGGCCAAAGAGCTTCTCAAGGGGAGATTTCTCCAGGTAGAACCTCTTCACACCTGTATCAGAATCACATGATGGTGCTTGTTAAAATATTAATTCACAGGCCCTCTTGAATTAAAAAAATTAGAATTTTATCAAGAACATTAGGTGCTTTTCATGCAACTAATATTTTAGAACAACCATACAAAACCCCTAAGGACCATCTAAATTAGACCATATGTGGGGACAGACTAAGATATGCAGTTATTGCTCATAATATCATAGGCAGGGAGGATTTTTCAATTTATGTAGCATAAAGTTATTGGTTAAATAAACACATATTCCTTTAAAATATATTATTATGATGAACATTAACCACACAATTTGCAATTTTATGTTCTATATAAGAAACTAGGACCCAAGTTAGTGTTTCTAACAGTGGTATCTCCACATATAGGTATTATTGTATAGTAACATAAATCTATGACCTGTGCTTTGGTTGTTACTAAAACCACCATTTCACATGCTGCCTTTGTCTTTCTCAGGTTAAAAGATGCACAAAGCCACAGAGTTCGTATGATAACTTGAACTATAAGCCAACCTCTAATTTGGGACATGAAAAGGCAAGGGAATTTCTTCACTCCCCAACACGGGTGAGGTTCTTCCTCGAGTCCCCAGAGCCAGACTCTGATTTTGCCAGACTTCATGCACATTGAACTCTGGACAAATTACCCTGTCAAACATTTCCACTTGAAAATGTCTCTCTTGACGTAGGATTTTAACCTAACCTAAAACTTGTCCTGCCTTTCCACAGTCATATTTGGCATTTCTTTCATTACCAATTCTTCCTTCACTCCCTTATAACCTGTGTCTTATAGTTCGGCTCTTCTAAAAACCACCAGTCTGTCCCACATCGGTCCACAGAGGAATACCTGATCTTCCCCTCCCATATTCCTTCCACTGGCAACCGGTATAAACATTCTGCTTCCTCCAGAACCCAGGAGTCATCTGGATTTCTCCCTTCTATTCACTTTGACAGCTATTTACTGGGAGCCTAGATGAGGGATTCTTCCCAGTGCTGGAGATACAATTGTGAATAAGTCAGACAAGGTCCTTGTCATCTTCTCTCCAGTTTATAGCCCATGTTTTATAAAACACCAAGGTCTGTCCATTTTACCTTCCAAGACTTTTTCATCCTTTCTTCTTCTTTCTTCCCTTCCTTGCTCCCAGTTTATTTATCACAGGTGGTCGCAGTAGCAATAACCTCCTTTCCAGGCTCCCTGCCCAGTCCTGCCCTCTCCCTCTCTATTCTCCACATAGAAGTCTGAACGTATGCTGCCTAATCAACATGCTTCCTTATAACATACCACCTAAGATCCTTTGCATAACATGCACAGACATGTGTCCAGCCCCTGCCCATTTGCACAATCTTTTGTCCTTCATTCCGCCCTACACTCGGCAATATCAGCCCACGTGTACATTCTGGGTCATGTCACTGTGTCATGTCACTGCATCCTCCACCTTTGTGCTTTCACATAGGCTGTCCCAATCTTCCTGAGCCACCCACACTTCACTTTCATGCCTCAAAACCACTTCTATCCTTTAAGACTCAGCTCAGGAAATTATCTTTAAGTCTTTAATACTTCCAGGAAATTTAAGAATTCATCTCACTGCAGCTTGCTGGGAACAGTTACCATATTTTATAACTGTTTGTCTGGATCTCTCTCAACCAGGACTGTGGCTTTTCTTTTTTCTATCAACAGTGGCTGTCAAGTGTAGACACTCATTACATTTTTGAAAGAATGAATACAAAAATCTCTGTCTCTGTTACACTAAAACTTATAATCATTTTAGGGAAGCACAACATAACGTACTTAAAATTTTGTGAACTTATCATTAACTTAAAATTTGTTAAAATTTTATTAACAATACTAAACCAGAGGTCAGAAATTATGTCTGGTACACAAAATATCCATCTTGGTGTCTAATACTTGTCTGGAACATAGGCATCATTGAACGTAAAGAAGTACGTAAGTGATAGAAAAGATGGAGCTCAGAAAGTAGAAATTTCATCCAACTAGAACAGTCAGGGAGTGTGCTCCCGCTCTGTGTGTTTCCCATCCATTCCC